TAGCATCATCATCATCGTACGAGGCATTGAGATACTGCTGGATGCTTCTAGTAGATGGCCACCCCTGCGTCACGCATCTCGCGTCGCGTTTTCGTGGACTGGTGCTTTACCCCTCCAACCCTCCCTGCGTCGTCTAGATATTATTGATCGTAACGCGATGGATCTCACAACGCCGCCGCCGGCGTTCGCCAAAGAAGGCAGCCGCCGCTACAGCCGCCGTTGTTACGGCAGAACGGAGGGCGTCTCGTCCTCGCCGTGACGTTCAAATAAAAACAAGAAAACATTCCCAACAGCTACTGCTGTCTTCGCCGTCGCCGCCGTCATCGTCGTCATTGTCCTGATGCCCGAGGAACTCTTTGCGACGGGCTATTCCGGCAAGAGATTTTATTTATTTAACAAATTAAAATTCGGTCATCCGAGGGTCACGGGGAGTGGCACGCTGAGGGTCACGGGGGGGGGGGGGGAGGGGCACGCGGAAGGTCGCTGAGGGTCACGGGGGGGGGAGGGGCACGCTGAGGGTCGCTGAGGGTCACGGGGGGGGGAGGGGCACGCTGAGGGTCACGGGGGAGGGGCACGCTGAGGGTCACGAGGGAGGGGCACGCTGAGGGTCACGAGGGAGGGGCACGCTGAGGGTCACGGGGGGGGGGGAGGGGCACGCTGAGCGTCATGGGGGGGGGCACGCTGAGGGTCACGGGGGGGGGGGGGGGGGAGGGGCACGCTGAGGGTCACGGGGGGGGGGCACGCTGAGGGTCACGGGGGGGGGGGGCACGCTGAGGGTCGCTTAGGGTCACGGGGGGTGGAGGGGCACGCTGAGGGTCACGGGGGAGGGGGGGAGGGGCACGCTGAGGGTCGCTGAGGGTCACGGGGGGGGAGGGGCACGCTGAGGGTCACGGGGGGGGAGGGGCACGCTGAAGGTCAGGGGGGGGGGCACGCTGAAGGTCAGGGGGGGGGGCACGCTGACCGTCTTTGTTCGATGTTTATGCACAACAATAACAACAACAACAGCGACGACGATAACAACAACGCATGTACGGACGTCGCGCACCGTACGTAGCCAAACCGTTTGCTCGTCGGAGCTGCAAAGAAACGAGTTTGTCGTCAACGATGACGACGACGACGACGACGACGATGTAAACTTGCGTAGCTCCCAGTGGCTTCCTCACGTTGACAAAAGGAAGAGCGTTCCAGACGGCCGCAGAAGCGCCGCCGTGCGATGCGGTGACCGCCTTTGTTCGACGTCTAACGGTAACAACGATGTTCGCGTGTAGAGCTTCTTTAGCGCTGTGCGTAGCCAAGCGTTCAATGTGTGTGGAGCTTCTTTAGCGCTGTGCGTAGCCAAGCGTTCAATGTGTGTGGAGCTTCTTTAGCGCTGTGCGTAGCCAAGCGTTCAATGCGTGTGGGACTTCTTTAGCGCTGTGCGTAGCCAAGCGTTCAATGCGTGTGGAGCTTCTTTAGCGCTGTACGTAGCCAAGCGTTCAATGCGTGTGGAACTCCTTTAGCGCTGTACGTAGCCAAGCGTTCAATGTGTGTGGGACTTCTTTAGCGCTGTACGTAGCCAAGCGTTCAATGCGTGTGGGACTTCTTTAGCGCTGTACGTAGCCAAGCGTTCAATGTGTGTGGGACTTCTTTAGCGCTGTGCGTAGCCAAGCGTTCAATGTGTGTGGAGCTTCTTTAGCGCTGTACGTAGCCAAGCGTTCAATGCGTGTGGGACTTCTTTAGCGCTGTGCGTAGCCAAGCGTTCAATGTGTGTGGGACTTCTTTAGCGCTGTGCGTAGCCAAGCGTTCAATGCGTGTGGAGCTTCTTTAGCGCTGTACGTAGCCAAGCGTTCAATGCGTGTGGGACTTCTTTAGCGCTGTACGTAGCCAAGCGTTCAATGCGTGTGGAACTCCTTTAGCGCTGTACGTAGCCAAGCGTTCAATGCGTGTGGAGCTTCTTTAGCGCTGTGCGTAGCCAAGCGTTCAATGCGTGTGGGACTTCTTTAGCGCTGTACGTAGCCAAGCGTTCAATGCGTGTGGAACTCCTTTAGCGCTGTACGTAGCCAAGCGTTCAATGCGTGTGGAACTTCTTTAGCGCTGTACGTAGCCAAGCGTTCAATGCGTGTGGGACTTCTTTAGCGCTGTGCGTAGCCAAGCGTTCAATGCGTGTGGGACTTCTTTAGCGCTGTACGTAGCCAACCGTTCAATGTGTGTGGAGCTTCTTTAGCACTGTACGTAGCCAAGCGTTCAATGTGTGTGGAACTTCTTTAGCGCTGTGCGTAGCCAAGCGTTCAATGTGTGTGGGACTTCTTTAGCGCTGTACGTAGCCAAGCGTTCAATGTGTGTGGGACTTCTTTAGCACTGTACCTAGCCAACCGTTCAATGTGTGTGGAGCTTCTTTAGCGCTGTACGTAGCCAAGCGTTCAATGCGTGTGGAACTCCTTTAGCGCTGTACGTAGCCAAGCGTTCAATGCGTGTGGAACTTCTTTAGCGCTGTACGTAGCCAAGCGTTCAATGCGTGTGGAACTTCTTTAGCGCTGTACGTAGCCAAGCGTTCAATGTGTGTGGAACTCCTTTAGCGCTGTACGTAGCCAAGCGTTCAATGCGTGTGGAACTCCTTTAGCGCTGTACGTAGCCAAGCGTTCAATGTGTGTGGAACTCCTTTAGCGCTGTACGTAGCCAAGCGTTCAATGCGTGTGGAACTCCTTTAGCGCTGTACGTAGCCAAGCGTTCAATGCGTGTGGAACTCCTTTAGCGCTGTACGTAGCCAAGCGTTCAATGTGTGTGGAACTTCTTTAGCGCTGTACGTAGCCAAGCGTTCAATGCGTGTGGAACTTCTTTAGCGCTGTACGTAGCCAAGCGTTCAATGTGTGTGGGACTTCTTTAGCGCTGTACGTAGCCAAGCGTTCAATGCGTGTGGGACTTCTTTAGCGCTGTACGTAGCCAAGCGTTCAATGTGTGTGGGACTTCTTTAGCGCTGTGTGTAGCCAAGCGTTCAATGCGTGTGGAACTTCTTTAGCGCTGTGCGTAGCCAAGCGTTCAATGCGTGTGGAACTCCTTTAGCGCTGTGCGTAGCCAAGCGTTCAATGCGTGTGGGACTTCTTTAGCGCCGTACGTAGCCAAGCGTTCAATGCGTGTGGAACTTCTTTAGCGCTGTGCGTAGCCAAGCGTTCAATGCGTGTGGGACTTCTTTAGCGCCGTACGTAGCCAAGCGTTCAATGCGTGTGGAACTTCTTTAGCGCTGTACGTAGCCAAGCGTTCAATGCGTGTGGGACTTCTTTAGCGCCGTACGTAGCCAAGCGTTCAATGCGTGTGGAACTCCTTTAGCGCTGTACGTAGCCAAGCGTTCAATGCGTGTGGGACTTCTTTAGCGCCGTACGTAGCCAAGCGTTCAATGCGTGTGGAACTTCTTTAGCGCTGTGCGTAGCCAAGCGTTCAATGCGTGTGGGACTTCTTTAGCGCTGTGCGTAGCCAAGCGTTCAATGCGTGTGGAGCTTCTTTAGCGCTGTGCGTAGCCAAGCGTTCAATGCGTGTGGGACTTCTTTAGCGCTGTGCGTAGCCAAGCGTTCAATGCGTGTGGAACTCCTTTAGCGCTGTGCGTAGCCAAGCGTTCAATGCGTGTGGAGCTTCTTTAGCGCTGTACGTAGCCAAGCGTTCAATGCGTGTGGAACTTCTTTAGCGCTGTACGTAGCCAAGCGTTCAATGCGTGTGGGACTTCTTTAGCGCTGTACGTAGCCAAGCGTTCAATGCGTGTGGAACTTCTTTAGCGCTGTACGTAGCCAAGCGTTCAATGCGTGTGGAACTTCTTTAGCGCTGTACGTAGCCAAGCGTTCAATGCGTGTGGGACTTCTTTAGCGCTGTGCGTAGCCAAGCGTTCAATGCGTGTGGGACTTCTTTAGCGCTGTGCGTAGCCAAGCGTTCAATGCGTGTGGGACTTCTTTAGCGCTGTGCGTAGCCAAGCGTTCAATGCGTGTGGAACTTCTTTAGCGCTGTGCGTAGCCAAGCGTTCAATGCGTGTGGGACTTCTTTAGCGCTGTGCGTAGCCAAGCGTTCAATGCGTGTGGGACTTCTTTAGCGCTGTACGTAGCCAAGCGTTCAATGCGTGTGGGACTTCTTTAGCGCTGTGCGTAGCCAAGCGTTCAATGAGTGTGGGACTCCTTTAGCGCTGTGCGTAGCCAAGCGTTCAATGCGTGTGGAGCTTCTTTAGCGCCGTACGTAGCCAAGCGTTCAATGCGTGTGGAGCTTCTTTAGCGCTGTGCGTAGCCAAGCGTTCAATGCGTGTGGAACTCCTTTAGCGCTGTGCGTAGCCAAGCGTTCAATGCGTGTGGAACTCCTTTAGCGCTGTGCGTAGCCAAGCGTTCAATGTGTGTGGAACTTCTTTAGCGCTGTACGTAGCCAAGCGTTCAATGCGTGTGGGACTTCTTTAGCGCTGTACGTAACCAACCGTTCAATGTATGCAGAACCTCTTTAGCTCCGTACGTAACCAACCGTTCAATGCATGTGGAACTTCTTTCGCACCGTACTTAACCAACCGTTCAATGTATGCGGAACTTCTTTCGCACCGTACTTAACCAACCGTTCAATGTATGTGGAACTTCTTTCGCACCGTACTTAACCAACCGTTCAATGTATGTGGAACTTCTTTCGCACCGTACTTAACCAACCGTTCAATGTATGCGGAACTTCTTTCGCACCGTACTTAACCAACCGTTCAATGTATGTGGAACTTCTTATCACCGTACTTAACCAACCGTTCAATGCATGTGGAACTTCTTTCGCACCGTACTTAACCAACCGTTCAATGTATGTGGAACTTCTTTCGCACCGTACTTAACCAACCGTTCAATGTATGCGGAACTTCTTTCGCACCGTACTTAACCAACCGTTCAATGTATGTGGAACTTCTTATCACCGTACTTAACCAACCGTTCAATGTATGCAGAACCTCTTTAGCTCCGTACGTAGCCAACGGCGCTAATCGGAGGTGCGTCATCTCCCTCCTCCTCACCCCCCTCCCCCCCCTGTCACACCTGGCTCTGACTCTGCTGCCTGGTGAGGCTCCCCCTGCCGTTGACCCCCCCACCACCACCGGCGGCTCGCTCCCCGGCCATCGCCATGACGCTCTCGGTGACTCGCAGCGTCTCGGACAGGAGGAACGATGAGCCACGGTTGACGCCGCGCCTCAGCGACCGCCTGAACGCCTCCGTGGTGAAGTAGTAGATGATGGGGTCGAGGCAGCAGTTGGCGCTGGCGAGGCACAGCGTGATGGGGTACGCCGCCTTGACGACTCGCAGCGCCGCGCAGCTCGTGATGGTGTCGCGGCGCACCAGCGTGTAGAACACGAGCACCACGTGGTGCGGCAGGAAGCACACGACGAAGATGACCACGGTCGCAGTGATCATGCGCTGGATCTTGCGCCGGTCGAAGGGGCTCCGCTGGAGGCCCCGCGACTTGTTGATGGTCTTGAGGATCATGCACGAGCAGTAGACCATGACCACGAGCGGGATCAGGAAGCCCACCACCTCCATGAAGATGACGATGGACGACAGGAAACTCTTCCACGTGTTGGTGGGGAAGTTCTCGAAGCACGTGCGGGGACCGCCGTCGGCCGACGACACGTTGCCGCCGCCGTTGCCGGCGCCGGCTGCGTTGGTCGTCTTTAGCAGGAAGGAGGGGCTCGAGCCCAGGATCACGATGAGCCACACGCCGACGCACGCTGCCTTGGCGGCTCGCGGCGTGCGCAGCGTCCGCGAACGGAACGGGTGCACGATGGCGAGGAAGCGGTCGGCGCAGATGCAGGTGAGGAAGAGGATGCTGCCGTACATGTTGGTGAGGAAGAGGACGCCGCTCAGCTTGCAGAGCCAGTCGCCGAAGGGCCAGCCGCCGCGCACGTAGTAGACTGCGCGGAAGGGCAGCGTGGCGATGAAGAACAGGTCGGAGAGCACCAGGTTGAACATGTAGGTGGTGGCCTCGGTGCGGTGGCCCAGGCAGCAGCAGAAGACTCCGAGGGCGACGCTGTTGGTGAGCAGGCCCAGCACGAAGATGAGGCTGTACGACGCCGCGTAGAAGGTCCGCTTGAAGTCCTCGTCGATCTCGCAGCTCTGCTCGCCGGCGCGGCGGCCGAGGAGATGGCGCCGAGGCTGACGTTGGCGAACGCTTTGGCGGCGTCGGACAGGCCCACCGAGGACGGGGACTCCGCGCCGAGCCACGCCAGAGACGCGTTCTCCATCGGTGGGGGTGTTTTGGTGGTTTGGTTTGGGGGGCCGTGGGGCGTGGGGGGGTGGGGGGGGCGTTTGTTGTTTTGGCTTTTTTGGGGGTCTCTCACTCTGCGGTCACGGAGCGGCCGACGGGCATAATGAGCCGGAGGTGGGTGGGGCGGGTGGGCGGGCGGGCAGGAGTGTGGGTGAATTGGGGGGTGGGAGGGTGGGTGAATTGGTGGGTGGGAGAGTGGGTGAATTGGTGGGTGGGAGAGTGGGTGAATTGGTGGGTGGGTGAATTGGTGGGTGGGAGAGTGGGTGAATTGGTGGGTGGGTGAATTGGTGGGTGGGTGGGTGAATTGGGGGGTGGGAGGGTGGGTGAATTGGTGGGTGGGAGAGTAGGTGAATTGGTGGGTGGGAGGGTGGGTGAATTGGTGGGTGGGTGAATTGGTGGGTGGGAGAGTGGGTGAATTGGTGGGTGGGTGAATTGGTGGGTGGGTGAATTGGTGGGTGGGTGAATTGGTGGGTGCGTGAATTGGTGGGTGGGAGGGTGCGTGAATTGGTGGGTGGGAGAGTGGGTGAATTGGTGGGTGGGTGGGTGGGTGAATTGGTGGGTGCGAGGGTGGGTGAATTGGTGGGTGGGAGGGCAGATGGATGAAGTGAGACACACACAGGTGCTGTGGTTTGGCCTTGCCAGTCAACAGAGGCCGTTCTTTTAGCCCGAGCCAATTAAGCGATTATAGTAGCAGCAGCAGCGGCGGCGGCGGTGATGACTACGACGGTGGTGGCGGTGGTGGTGGCACTACCTTTACCCCTTAGGGGTAAGGCTCGATAAACTCTGAGCCTCTCTGCGAATTAGGCGGCACACCTCTGTGTGTGTGTGTGCGTGTGCATGCATGTGGGCGTGCGTGCGTCTGTGTCAATCTCGTTTTGTTTTGTATGTATATACACAATTATTTTAGTCTTGTGCAACAAGCGTTGTGTTTGCGTCTAGGTCCCCGCGTTGTGGCTGTTGTTGTTGTTCTCGTCGTGGTTGTCGTTGCCGCGTGGAATCTTGGGGTTGGGGGGCTCCACCGTGTTGGGTTTCGGTTTTGTCAGTCTCAGCTTCGGCAGGGGGGGTGGTGGCTTCCTGTGTGGGTGGGGAAAAGACACAGAGATGGAGAGAGAGACAGAGAGAGAGAGAGACACACAGAGAGAGAGAGAGAGACACACAGAGAGAGAGACACACACAGAGAGACAGACACAGAGAGAGAGACACACAGAGAGACCGACACACAGAGAGAGACACACACACAGAGACAGACACACAGAGAGACAGACACACAGAGAGACAGACACACAGAGAGACACACACAGAGAGACAGACACACAGAGACACACACAGAGAGAGACACAGAGAGAGACAGACACACAGAGAGATATACACACAGAGAGACACACACAGAGAGACACACAGAGAGACACACACACAGAGACAGACACACAGAGAGACACACACAGAGAGACAGACACACAGAGAGAGACACAGAAAGAGAGAGACACACAGAGAGACAGAAACACAGAGAGAGACACAGAAAGAGACACACACAGAGAGACACACACAGAGACAGACACACAGAGAGACAGACACACACACAGAGAGACACACACACAGAGAGAGACACAGAAAGAGAGAGACACAGAAAGAGAGAGACACAGAGAGAGATTTGAAGCTTTCGTGACGGCAGCAATCCCATACTCTTTGGTTCTTTGGGTGAAGTCGCGTGGGTAGAAATAGAATAAAATAAAACGATGGAAACGTCGTGATCTGTTTGATTTTATTTCTAACTAAGTGACTTTAATTTTCGATTTAAAGCTTTCGTGACTGCAGGGATTCATCTTCTTGGTTCTTTCGATAAAGTCATCACGTAGAAGGGAAGTAATAGAATAATAAAAATAAAACATAATAAAATACAATTCTCACGAGAGAATTAGTGAGAATTATTTTATTATAATGGTTTATTTTTATTATTGTATTATTTCCCTTCTACGTGACTTTACCCAAAGAACCAACAAGTATAAATTTGTGTTATTTACGACACACAAACCCCTGGATTTAATCGGATGTGGCGGGTGGCGGCGGTGGGTTTAATGACACGTTTATGTCCACGCGATCTGGCCCCGGCCAACCAAAAAACAAACACATCTCTGCTATGGATAAAATCGATGTGTTTTGTTGCAATACTGGTAACCGCATGACGGCTTAAACAACCCGGTTCGCGGCTTAGCCACACACACAACACAACACGCATGTAGGAAAATCCTGGAGAAATACACAAAAGTGGCGTCACTTCACGAAAGCTGCTTACGGTGGCGTTAACCCTCCCCCCAATCCCCGTTCCCGCTTCCGAGACGTCTTGCAAGTTGCGTGGGTGGGTGGTGGTGTGTGTGTGTACGTGTGTGTGTACGTGTGTGTGTGTACGTGTGTGTGTACGTGTGTACGTGTGTGTGTACGTGTGTATGTGTGTGTACGTGTGTGTGTACGTGTGTGTGTGTGTACGTGTGTGTGTGTGTACGTGTGTGTGTACGTGTGTGTGTGTGTGTGTACGTGTGTGTGTGTGTGTACGTGTGTGTACGTGTGTGTGTGTGTGTACGTGTGTGTACGTGTACGTGTGTGTACGTGTGTGTACGTGTGTATGTGTACGTGTGTACGTGTGTGTGGGAGCGGTAGTGTAGCGGTTAGCGCTACGCTGCGCTATGAACCCGGCGACCCGGGTTCGATTCCCGCTCACGGCCAACACCAGTGACGATTATCTAAACCGGTCCCGGGCCTCCCCTAGGTCGACTCAGCCTCAAATGAGTATCTGGTGCAGTGTGTAAACATCGCCACTGGGGAGACAAAGGCGGTCGGGCGTGGTGCTGGGCACCCACCCCCTCGTGTGCCGTTCCGGCCTTCATAGGTGCTCGCTAACAGCACTTGCCCCTACAGTCTGTTAAGGCTATACGGGGGATCTTTGTCTTCGTCCCGATCGCCGCAGAATCTCGGAAACGCCGCAAAGTGGTTAGTGGCGTTCGTAGTATTTTGAGAGTCGCAGTGGAAGCAGCGTCTGTCAACACGCACCAAGCACCTAGGAAATGTTAACTACCTCGCCTGGTATACAGGAGGTCGTGGGTTTGATCTTGGACCCTGATGACGCCTGCTGCTGCTGTAGATTTGGAGTTTGCGTGTCTCTCTCTCATCATCACGGCGGCTAGGAGATGTTAACTACCTCGCCTGGTATACAGGAGGTCGTGGGTTTGATCTTGGACCCTGATGACGCCTGCTGCTGCTGTAGATTTGGAGTTTGCGTGTCTCTCTCTCATCATCACGGCGGCTAGGAGATGTTAACTACCTCGCCTGGTATACAGGAGGTCGTGGGTTTGATCTTGGACCCTGACGACACCCGCTGCTTTAGATGTGGAGTTTGCGTGTCTCTCTCTCTCATCATCATCCAGTGGCTAGGAGATGTTAACTACCTGGCCTGGTATACAGGAGGTCGTGGGTTTGATCTTGGACCCTGACGACACCCGCCGCTGTAGATATGTAGTTTGCGTGTCTCTCTCCCGCTCTGCCTGTGGTCGCGTGGAAATGTTTTCCCCGGTTTTTTCCCTCTCCACGTTAAGAATCGGCGCCACGCGTTTCGAGTTTTAGGCAAATATAAATTCCCACGCGACGATGACGACGATGATGATGATGAGCCGCGTCGGCGAGCTACGATTTGCGATAGGCAGGTGGCTTCTGAACAAGAGGCCACGTCGCAGCTCAGTGGGGCCTTATACCTGGCAACAATAAAAAGTAGCTTCGAGAATCAACTTTCGTTGAGAGTTTTTGACTGCTACTCATTTCCGCACAACGACGACGATGATGACGACGACGATGATGACGATGACGACGATGATGATGACGACGATGACGATGATGATGATGATGATAAAGCCGCCGCTTCCTCTAGCTATCATTTGCGATGGCCAGAATCGCTTCTGAAAAAAATCTACGTAGCTTAGTTTTGTGGGGGGAGGGGGGCCTTCCACCTGCTAAAATACACGACGTTGTTTAGATGCAGTTGAGTTTTCTGCTACTTAGCAACTGCAGAGTAGGTAGGTGCCGTTGCGGGCCCGTTGCCACAAGCAATGCCATGTGCAGTGCCACACACCACGCCCCTCGTCCCAACTATTTCTCAAACGACCGCCAACGCCACCACCACCACCCCCCTGTGCTTTCCCGTCGCCCGGTTAGTTTTATTTTTAAAGCCCAAATTTATGTCACGTTGTGTTCTATTTCCAGCGGACATCCAAAACGCCGGACCCCCCCTCCCCTCCCTCCTCTTTTTAAATTCTTTATATTAAGTTCACTCGCTTGCTTGCTTGCGCGCTTACGACCGTGCAAATCTTTCGGTCGTTTTTTAACCCACTTCCCGTGATCCAATCGAGATGACATTTTGGCACACAGACTCGTTGTGCGTGACAATTTATTTTCGTGAAAAAAAAATTCCTAAATTTTCCACTTTTTTAGGGAAAATTTTTTCTTCATATTTAATTAAAATACCAATGTGATAAAAATGAAACTCTTACTCAAGAAAAACAGAAATGAATAGTAAAATAAAACCGATGCCACGCATATAAAGGATTTATAGTGAAAACCTTTGTTTTTACGGGTAAATTTTTTCTTTGCTTTCTTCATAGTTAGAGGGGCGTTTGTACGGTTTCCGTTGTGTACGTCTTTAAACATAAGAAGTTGAATCGAGTCGTCAACGCCACCACCCCCCTGTGTTTTCCCGTCGCCCGGTTAGTTTTATTTTTAAAGCCCAAATTTATGTCACGTTGTGTTCTATTTCCAGCGGACATCCAAAACGCCGGACCCACCCCATCCCCTCCCCTCCCCTCCTCTTCTTCTTTGCTATCTTCATAGTTAGAAAGGCGTTTGTACTACTACAACTGGTCTTCTTGGTTCTTTCCAACAGACCTGTTTCTTCACCTGAGGACGGCTGCTTGTGTTGTGGCCGAAACGTCGTGAGAATTTTTATTTTATCGTGTTTTATTTTTATTCTT